GATCTACTTTCCCCCATTCTTCTCTTTGTGACTCAGCAAAACCAACAAACCAAACTGTAGCCCATCAATGTGGTTTGGTTTGGCTAGTACGGAGTATTTTCGTCACAACCAATCTAAAAATTCAACAGTGCTCACCCCTAATTTGTTGAATATAAAGCGTTAGGCACAGCAGGCTTGAAAAGTTGCTCCGGAAGTGTTGTGGGGCAGCTCCTTTATCAAGTCCATACGGTATGGACTTCAAAAGGAAAAAGCCCATACCAATAAAATTGGGGGACTCTCAGATTTGAAGCAATGGGCTATCTGGTGCTGTGGCCCACATGAAAAGTGCAAAAAGTGCTGCAAGAGCGAAGCGCGACACTTGAGAAATCGGAAAACCTTAGCTAAGTAAGCTCTGGGTTCGTGAGGTGGGTTATTGAGTATATGGAGAAGAAAGTCATGGTGGAAGTTACTGATCCTTCAAACATTCGAACCACGGTAGCAACAGAAACTTTCATCTAGCATAAATATTTCTTCACCTTCTCTGGAACTGATAAGGAAATCAGTCCCTTTTCCACCAAAACCAAAACTAAAAGGAGCTTAAGTTACGCATGTGATATCTTCACACAACTGTATTTATTAACACATAAATTTGATGATGGTTTCCATCTACAATGGGTTCATTCAAAGCACATGGAAAGAGAGAATTACAAACTTTCAAGGAGAATGTCAAGTTTCTGTACAAACAACAATACCACATTCAATAGGAATGGATGCCTTCGGTACACTTAATTACATCAATAGGAATGAATGGCAAGACCCTTTGCTATTGCTTTGCTGCTACCAATCCTCCTTCACAATTTTTGACTTCTCAAATATGAACTTCCCTTCCTTGTACTTCTGTGATGCCTCATAAGCTCGTTCATACTTCCACCCCAACACCTCACGGCAATCACTGCAACGGATGTCGGCAACAGTATGCAGTCCAGTCATCAGATGTCTGTCTTCTTTTGTCCCAACAACAACATTCATCGCGTGGGAGAACAGAAAAGCTCGGCCATGTCTTCCCTATAACAAAATGTTGGAAAACAAATGTTTGACAAAAGAATATATGCCCAGATCCTATTATCACAGCCAAATATATGAGATGAAACCATACGTTCAGATGTTTTTCTTTGTTTGTTTTCTAACACAGACGCAAAACACTGGAGTTACAAGATCAAGCACAAAGAGCAAACTAGGTTTTTTATTCAATCTAATTCTGCCTTCATTTTGAATTCATGTAAAGCTAAAGGAAAGTTACCTTCTCATGTTGATTTGGTTAATTCTCTGTTCTTATATTGATCACAGCAAAGAACCCTGATGATTAGCCAAATAGTAAAACAAATAACAAAAAGCAGAGAACCTACAAAGATGGAGTTGGCACCCCAATTGCTATTCTGCTATGGAATATAGATGATGATCTTTCTCTAAAATAATTTACCCTCCTTCTGTAAACCACTTGATTCCTACCCCCATCAGTTTAAAGCTATACAACAGTATTATCACTTGGGAAGAAATAATAAAAACTCGAAAGAAATATAAACAAAATTCTTATTTCTCAAAAATAAAGATAAAGAAGCAGAAGTCGAACAATATTCTGGATGCCTCACCTGAAAAGCCTTAGAAATTATATCATCATGAAGTGAAACATGGTTTCGGCAATTACAACAGCTGTACAATCTAGGCCCTACCAAATCCGCCATTAATTAACAAATTCAGCTCTAAACACCTCACTGCTCGCCAACCAGGAAAAAAAAAAAAAAAGAGAAAAGGAAGCAAAAGAAACAGAGACAATTACACACGGAGACAGAGAAGTCTAAGGGGTGGAAACCCAAGTAACAGAAAATTCTATAAAATCAAAACAGGGACAAAAGATAAAGGGAAGGATCATAAATTTATTTACCTAGAACACGATCAAAAGTCACCCAGAAGCCTGCAACAAAGGATAAGGGGCACCAACCGAGTTGGCGTGCACGATTAGACCCAAACAGATTACGAGTTTGAACAAATATTCCAAAAGTAAATATTAAAAATGGGTGTGGAGTGAAAGAGACAGGATTGCAATTAAGGATAAGCAACAAGAACATTTACAAGATGAATATTAACAATCAAATGTTAAAAAAAAAAAAAGAATAAATAAATGATTAGGAAAGGAAAAGTTGGAGTCTTTGAAGTGAAATCCATGGGAGAGAGTAGAACCCAGTAATTAATTGGGTATTATAATGGGAAGGGATGAGGATCTGAGCTGTAAAACCAGACACTAAATCATAATATATATATATATAAATTTATTTAAAAAATGATAAAGTGTTGATAAATTATTTTAATTTATACTTGAAGAATTGAAGCAATAAATCTTGTTGATTACTAACAGTCAAGCACTGCAATCAAATTCTTGAAATTGATAGAGAAATAACAAAAACAAAATGTAAATTTCGGAGGTTTTTTCTTTTCGGTTGCCAAAAACACTGACCTTTTTCTTCAGCAGTGTGACCTGACTTTACTTTGAGCCTTGGGGTTTAATAGTAAATGATTTGCGTGCAAACTCTAACAATTGATAGAGTTAGGGGAAGAATTTTCTGCAATATTTTTGAGTTTGATGACTTGTTGAGTCACCAAGAGGCAAAAGCCAACTCACGCGCGCCAAGATAGAGACTTAACACGCGCGAGCATACCGGTGCACAGGAGGAGGGCTGCAGGATCAAAGACTTTGCACACTAGAAGAGGACACAGCAGCAAGGGGGTCCAAATTTTCGACAAAAATGTTTCAAGTTTTAATATTTATGGCATTTAAAGCCCTGCAACCCATTCTTTGCAAGCCTGGTCCAGTTTGTCAAGCTCCTCCTTGTGGCCTCGAGAGAGCAAAGAAAGATCAATGATAGGAATCCTGGAAGAAAGATCATTCTTTGGCTCGTCTTCTTCATTCCTACTGTTGGTAAAATTAAAGATAATTGCTATATTTATAGAATTTCGAAAATAAAACTTCACTATAAATTCGAAATAAGTACAAGAAAATAATGACAAGGAAAATTAAGAATACTTTACAGATGATCGAGTCTAGAACTTGGTTCTATCTCCTTAAGACGAAATTGCCTCCTCACAGGTGCTTTTAGGATTTGCTTGGCAAACGTCTCCCAGGATACAACGATCGGCCTTGTTGAAGTAGCACTACAATCCCCAAGAAAAGCGAACTCAAACTTGTGTATGAACTCTCTCTTACTAACTCACTATATTTCTAAAAATATAATGCTATGAATGCTCTAAATAATACTATTGTTGGATGACAATTGGATGAATCAAATGTTGTAGGATCTTCTCTATTTATAGGCAACAAGGCCTCTGTTCAGAAAAGATGTGACTGAAAAAATATTAACAAATGTGTCTTTTCATGTTGCAACCATAAGCCAAGAAGTGCAATGTTTCAATTTCTATGAAACAATGCAACTTTTCATATATGAAACAATGCAACTTAAGCCAAGAAGTGCAATGTTTCAATTTCTATGAAACAATGCAACCTTTCATATATGAAACAATGCAACTTAACACATAAAGAATTATTATTTTACAAACAAAATAAATAATATTCTATTTTTCCTTGATTAAGAACATGACTATTCCCAATGGATACATACCATTTCATAAAAGTCATGTACTTAAAGTCACAAGTCCCACAATTTAATTTCCATTCAATTATTAAAAAATTAAATATATAATTTTCTAACAGCAGCACACTTCAAAGTTTCAACCTTCAAAGAAGGTTCCTTTGTGCCTTGTATTAAGTCAGGGGAAGCAAAATATCAATCAGAAACTGGGAAAAGCAAAGAACTTTACCGATCAGCCAGCCTTCAATTTGGGATTAGCAGCTTTTCATAATCTAGGATTTTGCTATTAATTAATAATTTTTAAGGAAATCAAACTCTCTCTCGTTCCCCATATGTTTTAAAAGATTTTTTTGTTTGTTATTTTGCTAATTTTGGACAGGAAGCCATAACGAAACAAGATCATAAGACAGCATTTAATGGCATAAATCAAACCAAAATAGGAGATAAACTGCACTAAAAAGTGAAAAAGGGGAAAGTTTTCTATTATTTTTGCATCGTACAATTCCGAAACTAGAACTCTGAAAAAAAATAATCCGAAAATAGAATAAATTGTTGCATTTCTATGGCATGGATGAAGGAAGTTCTACCCAAAACCAATTGGTCACAGGGGAGTTTTTCAACTCCTTATAAACTTAGGCTAGCTTCTTTTATTTTTCAATGCGGACAAACACTATGAATAATGGATGACCACATCCAATTCATAATTTCCAGTAGTTCAACAAAAAAAAAAATTTCACAATTTCCATTATAAACCTTGGAGTTATGCAACCCTTCTTGCAATTGTCGCACAAAAAAGAAAAGCCTCCCTCCTTGAAATGAAGAGCCAAACTAAGCGAAGTTGTCATTAAAATTTATTTCACGATTTCAACATTACTCATTTTAACCCTCTCGCAAATCCATCAACATCATCAACAAAATCATACAAATCACAGAAATAAAAAAAGGGTTTGTCATTCTTTTTCCATTTTGTATTTATGAACTATATTCATCGTAATTAAGCAATCATTTCTTGCGTAATTAAACGTCTCACAAAATCATCAACAAAATACAAGTGGATTACTGCAAGAAAACCATGAGACTTTTTTGCTAGAAAAGGATACAAACGATTTTACATAAAGACAAACTTTTTTATAGACAAATATACATATCCATATATACAATCCCGATCTCCTGGATTACAAGGGTCCAAGAGATTTGTGGTCACTCACCGTTGGATGTAAATTCAACGCTTCAATCACTCTTGCACTCCTTTTAAGAAACTTTTTTAAATTATTGGATTAATATCCAACGGTGAGTGACCACAATCTCTTAGACTCCTGTGGTTCAAGAGATTGGGACTGATCCACATATAATACAAAAGGAGAGAGAATAAAGAGGAAAGAAGGAAAAATTAGAAGTAACCGCAAAGGAATTAGGGATTTGGGGTATTTGCCCGCTCTTTGCAACTTCGCCACTTAACTTCAACATTCGACATCTCACGATCTCATCTCATCTCTCACTCTATTTCTCCTACTATACTGAAAAACAGAAAATAAAAAAACCAGAATCTTTCCCCTTCCTCTTCATTTGTTATCTCAAAGAGATACAAACCAAGCCGCAGATTATAACCACCGTTCACCCACACAGTCTCTCCCTCAACCCTAAACTATGGCGGATGCTTATTGGAGGTACAGCGACGCTCGGCAACCACCACCGTCGGCGATGAATTCAGTCGTCGGAAAGCGCCCTCGCTCCGATTACGGTATATCAAATTCCTCGAATTTCCATGATTTTGGGTTCTATCTCCTTTTTGTGTTTGTTTGGTGCTTGATTAAATTAGGGTTCTTGGGATTTTTTTGGTTGCTTTTAAAGGCAAAAACTGCACTAAGAATATATGTATTTTTTAACAATAAAGGGAGATTTCAGCAGACTTCCAAGTAGTGGAATTAGGTTTTCAGTGGGCCGAAGGATTGAAATTTGAGGATCACTTTTTTCCTTAAATTTTCCATTCAATGTCTAAGCAACCTAATGAAGTTTTGAAGTGGGGGTGAAATGTGTTTCTTTTGATAGATGCTATATGTGGGTTAATCAGTGTTGATGTATATGTGTATCAGCTTACTAAGACATTATCTAGGCTTCATGATATGTATGATTGGTGCTTCCATAGTTATTTCTAAGAGGCACTTAGATTGTATGATAAATTTGCATTATTGGTAGCTGCTGTGCCTTATTGAAGTTCGGGTAATCATTAAGAAATAATTTGTTTCATTCAAGGATCGACCTTTTATGCCTTCCTGCCAGAATTGATCAGTGTACAGATTATATTATTTTTTTGAAGATATCCTATTATGCTGGATCGCTATAGTTACCATATAAACTACTAAGCTTCTATGAGATATTTGGCATATATTAGGCATATGCAGAAGGAAAATCCAAATGGTTGTGTTAGCATATGCAAATATTTGGGTATAAACCTAGGGATCTTAGCAACTTGATTACCTGCTTATGAGCAATTCAGTAGCTTCTAGAGATTATAGAAATTTGGTTTTGATAGGCTGTCTGGAGTTTAACTTAATATTGTCCTGTTTGTAGCTTTATGCTGTAGCAATTTTCTTCACAACGGCACGGTCTGCCTTTAGAATCATATGCATTCAAATATTCTTTCTTTCTTTCTCTTTTGGTATCTACTGAAGTACATCCTTAATATTTTAGATGCCCATGGTGGCCACGACCTGCCGAGTTATTATTCCCATGAAGATGATAGAGGTTCTCTCCGGGGAATTAGAGATACTGACTCCATTAATGCCTCATATGATCGCTACCTGCGCAGTGCGGTACTTACTTTTCGTTTTTGTATTTGGAACTCTCACATTTTTCACCATATGTTTTATGTTTAGGGGGGCTAATGTATTAAGTAATGTTTCAGCAAATGCCATCATATAGTGGTGGACAGTCTGCTAGAACCTTGAGTGGTGGACTACCTGGTCGTTCTGTTGATGATCCACGGATGATGGGAATGGGGGGTGTTGACCCAGGGGCACCTGTAAAAGACAGGGTTTTAGGAATGGGAAGTGGACGGCCTGAGGCTCCCCTACCTCCTGGTGCTACCAGTACACTATTTGTGGAGGGATTGCCTCCCAACTGTACACGACGTGAAGTAGCTCGTATCCTTTAATTTTTCTAGGGGGGTTGCAGTTTTCTTTCCTTATTTTTTATCATCACTTGCACTTTTAGCTTTTTAGATTTTCCCTTCACTTGAGTTTGAAGATATCTTTCGCCCTTTTGTTGGCTACAAGGAAGTGAGACTCGTAAGCAAGGAATCGAGACATGTAAGTTCATCTTTCCCTAGGGTGGATTCAATAATTAATGATTGATGGATTCACTAATAAGTAATCTCTGCAGCCCGGAGGAGATCCTCTGGTACTCTGTTTTGTTGATTTTGTGAGCCCAGCCCATGCAGCCACAGCTATGGATGCGTTGCAAGGTAAGCTACTTACAACTTCATTTAATTTGTTGCAATCCCAGCCCCATAGTTTCACTGGCCTATTCAATTAATTGCTTATTTTGCTGCCTTTTCTGATGCCATTGTTGGAGGAGTTGCATTTCCTAAAATTATTTCACTTTGCGAGAAGAGGGACTGCCAAATGATTCACAAACTGCTTTTTGGCTGTGTTATGAAATTAACCAAAAGAAAAAAAGGAAAGGCTATTAGTTTTTCCAAATTTAACAATGTATGGTATACTGCATGAAAAGGCAAGTTCACTTTGCTATCAATATTTAACACAGTTCACATATAAAATCTGTACAAAGTGTTTCTGACTTTAAACCCTTTTCACTTCCAAAGATGCCTGAAAGTTTCAACGATTTCAGAAAGGTTCCTAAATCCTTAGTTTTGTGGAATTTATTTCCCGTTTAAAGTGACATAACACACTATTCAAGGTGCGGGACTTCTTTTTTTGAAGAATGACACGATCTTTTGAGCCACTTTATATTGGCTTTAAAGGAGGTGAACATAGATTGCCGATGCCCATATGTATTATTCTGCAGTTTTATCCTGGGTGTTGTTTCATGGGGATCTGTCAGTTTGTTTAGTATTTATGACATCTTGGTTTCACACGATACTTTAGGCCAGAAGTTGCATGGTCTGCAAAGTCATCCAGTACCAGTGTACCACGAGCCAAACTTAGTAAATTTTTCCAAATAATGGAAGGGGTTACCTTCCTGGGTCATTTTAATCCTCCTAGATTGTGAATCTCTGATGAATGCCTTAAATCTGGTTGGTTTCATTGGGACCTGATGAGTTTAAGCTCATTTAGTGAATTAGGATACCGGGACTGGTTAGAGAAACCATATAATCATTTGTTTGACCAAACGAGTAATTCAGTCATAAGAATGGTGTTGTTAACAACGGTGCTCTCAATATAGTCATCTCATCCTGATGAGGTTTCTCTAATCGTACTGTATACTTTATGCTAAGAGAGGAATCGTGTGAGCTTTATTTTGGAATGGGAGATCCATTTTACGCATTCTGTCAATCTAGTGCATGTGAGGGGTACCCACATTTGCTACTTAGTGTGTTGCAAAGTGATAGGTATTATATATCTAAGATAACGGTTTCACGTCTTATATCATCTATCTGCTGATGCCCTGATTCGCCGTTGAAAAGGTTCCCAGTTGTTAGTGCGTAAATGGTCGAGCTCGATTTTGCAGGTTATAAATTCGATGAGCATGACCGTGACTCGGTCAATTTAAGGTTGCAATTTGCTCGGTATCCTGGTGCGAGGTCAGGTGGTGGGCACCGAGGGAAGCGTTGAATTATGCGGTTTTCAGGTGATTAACACAATTCTCGATCCGTACGACCCTTTATTGTTCATGGCCGTTAGGTGCTGAGTAAAAATCTAAAAAATCACGCTAAATCGTGGAACGAATCTTCTCTGTAGGACTTGCTTGAATTGGGAGGTTGTGATAATGAGGGGCGATACAACAAACTTGGCAGTCTCGAGAATTAAAGGCTCATAGTTAGGACCAACTCAATTGGGTGATTCCTGATAATTGGGGGCGATTACTAGAATGCTTTTCTGTTTAGACAACTGCAGACTATATTTTCGTTTGTTTACTTTGGGATATCAGTATGATTACTTAAAGACTATCTCACCATATGCGTTTTGTTAGAAAATGTAAAAACTTATTTAAAGCTGAGCAGTCTCTTTGCATTTGCATATGCATATGCTCTGGGATGAGGGTCTAGTATTTGACATTTATTTTAGTGATGAAGTGTGGTAACTGCTGTAGGCGTCATATATATTGAAAATAACTGGCTTCTTCTGTGTCAGTTGCTCACTTTTCTCAAGAGGTATTAAAATCCTAAATTGAATTTGTTGTAGCCTTTTTATCATATAGATGTTTAATTTCCTTTCTTCTTTTGTCCTTTTGGAAGTGATTCAGAACAGAGTTTTTATGATAGTAGTGGGTAGAAACTAGACAGAGCAAAGCCTGTCAGCCATGACTATCATCCAAAACATCATTATTATTATGAAGGAATTCTTATCCTGTGAGAAATTCTGGCATTTGAGTTTTGACTGGGTTTGGTTTGGTTGGGTTGGATTGGATTGTAGATGGATCTAATCTCTTATTTTCTCAAGTTAAGTGAGAGGTCATAAATATTGTCCCGCTTTTGGTGCTTCACGTGAATCATAAAGGTTGCCTTTTCCTGTTTGTCACTAGTATTTTACAACGTGTGGTGTGGACACCTCCTAAAAGCGAAAACAGAATGAAAGTCGTTATCATTTTCCACGGTACGGATACTATTTCAGTCTAGTCTAAGGCGATGAATTTTGCCCCAAAAGCTCTATGTGTTCACACCCATACATTACATATACACATTCATTAAGATGGTAGGCTTCGGCTTCGCAATTGAACAATTAATTAAGATGGTGGATCTCCTCAAAATCAACAAGATAAGAGTATAAAACTAAATTAACCAACAATAATAGGATTTGATCATAGACGCCCATCTGTGAATGTAATCCATTGGTTAACTTAACAACGGGGTAATGATGATGATTATGCTGGAATATTTATTCTCAAGTTACATTTTCCTTCTTTTGGCTGAAGGAAGAAGATGAAGTGCGTTGCAATGACCAAAAAAGAGAAAGAAATAATTATGTTGATAATATAAGCGATATTGAGGGAAGAGGATTCTTTTGAAACGGAAAAAGTAAAAAAAATAAAGAAAGAGTGAGAATTTGGATACGATTCAACTCAAATACCCAAGTCAAGAGATTGATAATGATTAAAGGGGAACGGATGAGTGTCCAATTTCGTCCGCACTGAGTATAATATTTTCTAGGTAGGGAAAAAAATAAAGGAACAAGGAAACGTGAAGCCAGTCAAAGTCAGCGAAGTGAGAGCATCAGTCTGGTTAAAAGAGAGATATTTCTTTGTTATCTTCAACCCCGTAGCCACCACAGGACCCGTCATTCAGATTATCGACAAAGTGGTTGTCTAATCCCTACCCATTCACTAAACTTTGAATCAATAATTTTAATTGTTAAATAAACAGTAATAACACGACAGGGATAGGGATAGCGATAGAATCCCTACCCATTCACTAAACTTTGAATCAATAATTTTAATTGTTAAATAAACAGTAATAACACGACAGGGATAGGGATAGGGATAGCGATAGTGATAATGATAATGATAATGATAATGATAAGGACTTCCACGCTGTAAATAATACGTCGAATGTTTATCATGCACTCGTTTAAGATTTCAACTGCGTAGTTGGGTTGTGGAGTGCTAGAAAACAGCTCCCATACCCAAAATGAAATTCAAAGATTTCAACTGCGTAGTTGAGTTGTGGCCCCTTGAGACAATTTCCCTTCAATTTCGCAGCCCTTAGAATCCCGACTCTCACATGCATTGGAATCTTTCTAGGTTTACTACTCCAACTCCCACAGCTACTCAACCTCTCCTTCACATTAAATTTCATATTAGGATTTTAATTCTTCAAATTTCAAAGTTCAAAGTTCCAAACAAACCTAACCTCTTTCGTTTATTATATCATACAAATACAACGCCTTTTTCTTTACATACATATTATTATTATTATTATTATTATACTCCAAATCCAACCCTAGTCTTGCCCCATTGCTTCTCTCTCTGCGTTGTGTGTTTTATTCACACAGCACAGAGCTGAGGATACTGTATCGTGTTGAATACGTATTTGATGATACATTGGTTGTTTTTGTTTGGTTTCTAGTCTACTTTCACTCAGGATCTTAAGGAAGGAGGGAAGGTGGTTGTTTTAATGGCTGAGATACACAGTGGAACGATGGCTGCCTCTGAGGAGGAAAACGATGACTGCCCCATTAAACAAGTCGAGTTAACCGTGCCCAAGACCGATGACCCCAACATGCCAGTCCTCACATTCAGAATGTGGGTTCTGGGTTTGGCTTCATGCATCTTGCTCTCCTTTGTCAACCAGTTCTTTTGGTACAGGACGCAGCCATTGTCCATCACTTCAATTTCTGCCCAGATTGCTGTGTTGCCCATTGGGCATCTCATGGCAAGGACTCTGCCTACACGCCTTATTTTCAAGGGTACTCGGTTTGAGTTCACTATGAACCCAGGTCCTTTCAATATCAAAGAACATGTTTTGATCACCATATTTGCAAACTCTGGTGCTGGGAGTGTTTATGCCACCCATATCTTGTCTGCTGTTAAGCTCTTTTACAAGAGGAAGCTCACTTTTATTCCTGCCTTGCTCGTTTTGTTTACCACTCAGGTTTTCTTCTTCTCCTTCTTCTTTGGATTTCAAATGATTTCATCTTTCCTTGTTGAAAAATTTAAACTTTCTGGTAATTTCGATGATTATAGATTTATCAGAACAGAGAAACAAAAAAACTGAAGGCATTGCTTTCTTGGAATACACTGTACTATGACTATCCAGAGTTTTTTTAACATTTGAAAGTTAACAAAAGGATCAATTTTTAAACTTCCCAACTCCATATTGTGTCCAGGACCTTTAATTTAAGTGTTAAATGGTTGATACGTCCTTGAAATTAGAATCCTGTGTTGACAACTCCTTTCTTGCCATCGTTCTTTTTTAACAACTCTTTGTGAAAATTTGTTCTGGAAGCATTTAAGAAAGTACTGGATTCATGGAGAATTGGAATTTTTAAAACTGTACCTACGACTGCTATGATTTTTGTTACATGTTATTACATTACCCTAAAGGGAGTTTGTATTTTACTTTTCATCTTCGGGGAAAATATGTTCATATTATAATCATCAATTATATGACTATTAAAATGGCTCAAATTAGCTGAATTTTAGGACAATAACAGCACAACTTATTTTTTGTTTCATACGGAAATTATTTCATATATTGTGCATCAGATTGTTATGAGTGACGTCTGATCTTGTAGTTTCTATTCATCTTGTTTGAATTATAGGTGTTAGGGTTTGGTTGGGCTGGAATTTTCCGGAGAATTTTGGTTGACCCAGTACAGATGTGGTGGCCCTCTAATCTGGTTCAGGTTTCATTGTTCAGGTAAACTTATCTTAGTTCAGTAATCAGCCAATAATTGGTTTCATAGCCTATTTAATATTACTCACAGTAGTAAGTCGTATACTGCAGAGCTCTGCATGAGAAGGAGAAAAGGCCTAAAGGTGGCATGTCCCGTACCCAATTCTTCCTCGTAGTCATGATCTGCAGTTTTGCTTACTATATCTTTCCTGGCTATCTTTTTGTTATGATAACATCCTTCTCTTGGGTCTGTTGGCTTGCTCCTAAGTCTGTTCTAGTCCAACAACTGGGTTCTGGCTTACGAGGCCTTGGTATTGGTTCCTTTGGGATTGACTGGTCAACAATTTCATCATATCTTGGTAGTCCGCTAGCTAGCCCATGGTTTGCCACTGCCAATATTGCCTTTGGATTTGCCCTAGTCATGTATGTGATGACGCCCATCACTTACTGGCTTGATTTCTACAATGCCAAGAAGTTCCCAATATTTTCTAGTGACCTTTTCATGTCTAATGGTACAAAGTATGACGTTCTGAGCATCATTGATTCAAAGTTTCAACTTGACCGTGGTATGTATACAAAGACTGGACCTGTAAACTTGAGCACCTTCTTCGCTATGACTTATGGTCTTGGATTCGCCACACTTCCTGCTACTCTTATGCATGTTCTACTTTTTAATATGAGGTAATTACACTCGAAGCATTTGCTGTACTGTTCACTCTGCTTGTGAAGCAATTACAAAATATATACATAATTTAAACTAAATTCACAAAAGTAAGTTGCATTTCTAGCAATAAAGTATACTTCTTGTCTCTTTACTAAAGGAAACCATTGCAAAGGTCTTTGTGAATTTAAGCTGAAGTTCATCATCTTACCTTCAATGCAGTGACCTTAGAAATGCATATCGACGACGAAAAAAATTGGATATCCATGCAAGGCTTATGAAGCATTACAAATCAGTGCCAACATGGTGGTTTCTTGCCAC